AGGGGGGGGGCATTGTCATTGTTCTAGACGGTCCTTATTACAGTATTTTAGACAATAAACGAATGTTTAAACCAAAATCTTGTATATTCAGCAAATAGTCAAGATCTGCTTGAACACGACCAGTGATCTAATAAAAAAAGTGGGTTTGCTTATAATATATTGTTTAACCCAATATTACCCAATATTATTGTGCAATATTACTGAATATACACTAATATTGGTCCCAATATTCTGGATATATAATAATATTAGGACCCAATATTACAGGATGCCTAATAATATTGTACAATATCTTCAGTAATAATTGGTATTGGTGCATGCCTATGTATAAGTAACACCGAAAACATGAATGATTTTACGGTTATTTTTTTCCAGACTCTGTTAGTACTTGATCTCCCGAAAGTGTTCAACAATGTTTTAGAGAGTATACATGCACGTCAGGGTCCATCTTTGGACACCCGAAAATATGAAATTTCTCTTCATTCTTCAACACTGTTTAACTGCTGCTTTGGATAATATAGATTAAAAATTCAAAAATTCTCAACGAATTTCGAATGAATACTATTTAAAAAGCGTCGTCTTTCTTACTATTAAGATTGTAACAGACTCTTATCCAATCTTGGAAAAATCTAAGTCAGATCTTAGAAAACTTTTATTAAGATCTTAGTAAGATTTCGCTTACATTCTTTTTAGGATCGTACGAGGGAAGGCTCCCAACTGTCCAATCTTTCAGCAAAGTATTCTTTATACCATTTAACGGGATGTTACAATTTTATACCTTTATTAGTTTCAGTAATTGCAATTATGTCTAACTTGTTTTTACACTCTGTTCTGGAATAAAATGATAAAAATTATACTTGATTCAAAAACTAAAAGTATCGAAGAAGGATGACAAATAATATTCGGCATACTCAAGTGTGGTTGGCATCAAGGAACTACGTTGATGTATGACAAAAAGAAATATATTTATTACAAACCGTTTTACCATTTTTACCAGAAAACAGAGATTGAAACGGCGTTCATCTGATGGGATTCAGATGAAATAAAAAGTTATATCAGATGCTTCAGAATACATCGGTCATTTAGTATTTTGTTCATATCTCTGTTGGATTTTATCTTCTAAGCTTTATTGGTTTTTTAGATTAGATTCACGTTGGATGAAAAAATTTTTCGATTTCGGATTTCAGTCGAGACTGTGACAAAAGGTTGCATGCTACTTTGAATCGGAGATGTAGAACGATATTTGTGTCGACTTTGTCTGGGAGCAAGAAATACATAAGATTAAGTTACAAGCTTTTCCGCATAGACTGTTAAACAAAATTTTACAAATGTGAAAAAATGTCACAACAAAAGTCATGAAAAACTTTCGAACGTAGATTCGGAAATCGCGATTCTCGCGAAAGGGCTTTAAAGTGAAGGAAAGTGTCCAACATTTCCTCGAGAAACTTTTAGTCTTTCTCTCCGATGAAGCAAACAAAAATAGGTAAAATGAAAAGAAGAATATTTGAGCCATGTAAGCCGCGCGCAGTTTGAATAGAAAAAAGAAGAGAGAAACGGACAAAAAAAGAATTTGTTTTTAATGTATCAAACATCATTCGCCAAGAAAAGAAACAAAACAAATATTACCTTTGTAGATAATACCTGATAGGCAGATACCAGTTTTGTGTTGGAAAAAACTGGAATAAAACAAAAGAAATAAAAACGGGGATAAACCCAATGAAATGATCATTTCTTTTTTCCAATAAAGCTGAAAATAATGGAGCTGTGTTAACGAAATGACTGTGACTAAAGAAAACTTAAGTACAATGTATTTCATGCCTATGTATCGTCCATCCTATCCTGTTATCTCATAAAACAAAAAGGAATGAAAATAAATCAAAAGGTGGAAGCCTTTGCACACAGACTATCGACGTGCTCTATTGAATGATATGTGGTAAGAACTGTAGCTTGTTTCGTTTTGGTGAGAAAAAAAAAGAAAGGATTACTCTTCTACGTCGAACGAAATGAACTTAATTAACCTGATTATTTTCAGCTTGTCCAAAAACGTTATTATTTAACAGAAAAAAAATCTTTTTGAATATGAAATGTTGTTATATGATATTATATATACTTTTGTTTATTATAGATTATATTCGTTTACACAGTTACATTACTCACCTGTTGATACGCACACAAAAACAAAGAGACATTTCTTACATTTAGAATATATAAGAAGCAACTTGCCATATTCGATAAAATATTCTGTTCAATTGATTCGTGGTAACAAGGATTATAATACAGTAATCGATCGCCCACCGTTCCAGTGTGGAGAAATCGAACTTGTATTGAATCATTCCTATCAATACGGATTCGGTTAATGTTGTGTGCAGAAAATTTATTCTGTGATTGACTTGATATTTTGTTGTGAATCAAACATTGGTATCGTAAACATGAATTAGAATAAAAAATATTATTAAATTTACATAAAAAATCATGGATCGATGGTTTAACGTTACAAGATTTTAATGATCATAGTGCACAAAATACAAATGTTAGATTTAACAAAAAATTATATTAAATCAATGCAAGGAGAAGAGAAGATGGCGCAGGAAAAATTCGCCATTCGAAATACGGTTAAACTCTTTTGGATTTTGTAAAGTAGATGCTGAACCATTTTAGATTTCGTACTGTTGCTTCCAAACCCTTTCGGTTTTTCAAAATACGCTTTGTTTTAGAGTGTACCATGTGAAAATGTAACTAACAACCTTGACGAACTCCATTCACAATAATCGTTGCAAAATGTGCAAGTTGTATGAACAAATGCATTCTGCTTCTCATAATAATTATATTTTACCATTCTCGTTTAATGAAGCCTTGCTTGTTTATCTTCTAACTAGCAGTGAACTCGCTGTGAAAATCTTACAATCGAGTAATCCAAGTGGTAGTTATCAAACTATTAATAGATGGTATAAAAGAACAGGTAATCCACAACTTAAAGTACCAGCAGGAGACATTGAGAGTACTTTTGACAATAAGCAAATTCTCGGTAAGACGTATAATATTATGTTTTTAAAACAAAAACTATAAATGAGCTGACGTTTGTTTACAGCACTGCGTACAGTTACTTTACCTTGTTAATCAATGTTCCTCGTCAATGATATTATTGGTTGAAAAGTTAAGTTAAACTTAAGGTGCTTAATTTTGACGACTTAAGTCGGAAAAAGTTAAGCCACCAATGACAACTGAAGATGAAAAACTAATAAAAAAGCGATACTGAACCTTCACTGGATGAGAGAAGAATAATTGTTATAGTTTGTGACTCAATGTATCTAACGTTGCTAAAAATCGTTGTCGACTTCTATTTCTGCAGGCCAGTGCATATTTTAGTTGCAATGAAAAAAAGATTACTCTTGCTATAGAAACAGATACTCTGATGGTAGCTGTGCGCGCGCCATTGTTTCTTTTTTTGTGTGTGGGTGATTGCAACACAGTAGTAAGGTGAAAAAAAGCCAATTAACATAGCTCATGCGAGTGCAGTGCTGTGCCAGGTTTTTTTGGAGATACTTCAGTCTCTTAATACATCGCGTATTAAAAGTCAGCTAGGAAGCAAATTAGCACCATTAGTATCTTAAAGAGGACAATAAAACTCTACGTGACAACCGAATGACGATGTTTAAATCACTCGTCTACCCATCCATATCCGTATAAATTCTGCATCTTACTATTTATTTTGATTTAGAAGATCGAGCGATGTTACCAAACCAAACTGCGCCAATAAAGAGTAATTTGAAGTTGTTTACGACTGTTTGCTCGAAAAAGAAAGTGTTTTGCTTTATGATTTCAATATTATTTTTTTTAGCATAATTGTCAGATAAGTGTTTGATTTGCTTCACTTTTTACTTTGGTATCCTGGTGCTTTGTGTGTTTTCTCTATTTAGCACCCACAAAAATTCTTATCTATCGTCCGGTGAATACGGTATCGCAATGTGTTTTTTCGGCTCCTCAAATGCCTACAGAAAGACAGATACGTTTGGCTTTTGCATCTCCTCAAACAATACATCCACCGGCGATACATGCTTCAGTTGGTTCTATGTCATTGGAAAATGATGAAAATGTCTTGCCTTCTCGCCCGTTTTGTCAACCATCAACATCATCAAAGAGATCAGGATTTTCAGGCTCAACATCAGTAACGACGAAAAGACCAAAAACAGACGCTTTACCACTGGAAGAATATGCTAACGACACGTCAGGTAAAAGAATAATTTTTTGGATCGGCAAGTCTCTGTATGTTTTGGTTTTTAGGTAAAAATCGTCGAGCTGCCAATTGGAACGAGGAGGAAACGTTTTGCTTCATCTCCATTTGAAGTCAATATTACGTCAAATTGATGTCTGATAAAACAACGAGGAATACTGTGGTTTATAAAGAAATGATAACACAATTGAATGAAATGATACCGGATCGCCATTTAACTGTTGATCATATTAAAAAAAAATAACAAATTTAACGTCTGATTATCGAAAGAAAAAACAACAACTAGGTACTACAGGTCCGTCAACGTGGAAATATTACGATGCTATTGACAAAATAATGGGTAATTTTATGAACTCTAAATATAATCTTTTTATCTGATTTTCTTTGTTAAAGGTGAACGTCCATTCAACAACGACTCATTGATGAGTGACGGCATGACATTAACATTGGCTAAAGATTGTGGTACAGAAAATGGTATAGTAGTTTATTGTAGGATATGATTTGTAAAAAGACCTTTTGCACTTTATTGCACTTTATTATTTGAATATTATTTGCCTTAGATAAGTATAAGTATTATTAGCATTAGTTTGACCTGGTTCTTTGTGATTTATTTTCTTCATTCGTAGATTTGTCGACGTCAGCTGCAGAATTTGAAGAAGAACCAAGTATCAGTACTAATCCTCATCCATAATTAAGATTACTGGCCTCAACAACACTAACACCACGTCGACCTTCATCGAATCCAACCATCATATCAACTGATCAGACGCTGAGTCCAACAGTATCATCAACGCCAACCGATTTCGCGAAAGAAAATGAAAAACCGAAGCCTTACTCAAATTTAAAGAAAAAAAACCAGCTGATCAAAGGCAAGTACTGAAAAACTGAATTTCGAGTTCCTTAATAGTTCTATGAAAATTGTGTATGCGGTGCCTGGAAATGCGCATGTTCTACTTGGCTCCTTTGCTTTTTAAACATTAGAATTCTGATAAACATTTGCTTTCGATTACTGTGCAAAAATTAAACTAATATTAATTATTGTAGACTGGAAATGATCAAAATAGTAATGGGAAAAATGGACGAGGCAAGTGCAGAAAGTCGACAGCCGGATACGAAGATGATGGCGTTGTTAGAAAAGCAAACTAAATTAGCGGAAGAAAGCGTACAAAATGAGCGTGAATTTTTGAATGTGTTTAAATCAATAGCATCAAGTTTAAATAAATAAAATGAAAAGATTGTTTATTAACTCTTATATTCTCCTTGAGTTATCTAATCTTTGACACAATCAGATATCGTCAACTGTCATTTTCTGGATCAATCTATTTCGATGTTCAATATTAGTGTCAGAATCACCGTTGTTTTTTTTCTTGCCAACGTCCGATGTTTTCTTATTCGTGAATTATTTGTGCTGCTGAACTTTTTTTCTTGTAGATGGATATAAACGATAAAATTTTGTTTCTTGGTGCGTTGAAGCAATTTTTACGTAAAAGGATGATGTTAAAACGAGAAATGGCCCGCTTATCAGCCCAGATTGAAGACACACGAAAGAAGAAACATAGAGCGTTGGAGAAAAAAAAAATATTGTTGATTTTGGCACTATCATTGACTACTGAAATACAACATCAGCCACGGTCCATTTGGAGCCGTCCAAAAAATGGAGATTGGTGGCGTTTAGTCGTGCCAGAATTTAGTGAACGTCGATTTAAAGAGAATTTTCGTATTAATCGTTGAATGTTTCATGAGTTGCTTCAGTTATTAGGTCCTCAGCTGCAGTAAGTAAATTCAGTATGAGTGATGTCCACTGTTATTTACTTTTGTTTAGAAAACAAAACACACACTTACGGAATTCTGTGCCAGTGGAAATCAGAGTGGCGTGTCCTTTGTACGTGTTGGCATCATCGAGTGAACTAAGAACGATCGCTCATTTGTTTGGAATCGGCAAATCGACGACAGCCGGCATTTTTCATCAGTTCTGCCAAGTTGTCGTCGAGAATCTGTTCGAAAAATTTGTTCAACTTCCACATAATCAGCCGCAAATCGATGAAACGATGGCCGATTTTAACCGTATCCATCAATATCCGATGTGCTCGGCGCAGTCGATGGCACCCATGTTCCAATTCAGCCGCCCATCGGTCATGAATCTGACTATTTCAACTACAAAAAATTCCATTCGATTATATTACTAGGTAAACGTACACAAACTTTCACAGTCTGAAGTGTTAATTTTATGAATAAGTATTAGAATCAGAGTTTTAGACTAAAAATGGGGAAAGTTATCAAACAAACTGGTGAAAAAGAACAAATGCACGTTTTGATCTTTACAGATTTCTTGGAAAAAATGTTACCTGCTTACCTGCAGGATGGAATCTGATTACGGATAAAAACATCGAACTATGCAGAATAAAGACCGTTTTGATGATGATTTTGAGGATGTTTTGATGAACCTCATGGCAGGGGATGTGTAATACACAGGGCTGATCAGCATCAGTCAAAAATATAAATATCATAGCATCATTCAAAACCTCTGATCTTGACGTAGGAGAACTGCAATACTGGTCTCTGACTTTGTATTTGACCTTCAACCTTATTCTTCCCTTAGATGTTGTCAATGCATCGTTGAAATGCACGTACGTCAATATTGGAGCACCGGGTCGCTGCAATGATGCGTATGTGTATAATCAATCAACGTTAGCCGCTTACATTCAACAACCGTTATTTACGCGATCAATCAAAACAATTGAAAACACAAATGTACCGGCACATTTACTTGGAGACAGCGCATTCCCATTGTCGGCGAATTTAATGAAACCGTACACAATCCAGCCAAATATGCCTCAGTATCAGACACGATTAACTATCGTTTATCCCGTACGCGAAATGTAGTCGAACGAGCGCTTGGTCAGTTAAAAAATCGTTTTCGGTTATTACATAGAAAAATAGAGTTTGATATTGACAACGTCGCAAACATCATCAAAACAGCTGTTATTTTACATAATTTTTGTGCCGATATTCGTGATAATGTTGAAGTTGAGTGGGATGTTTCCGAACCCTTATACAAAAACCGAACTGTACGACAACAACAAACAATGCCACACAAATTCGACAAGCACTGGCAACACACTTCCAAAACAATCTCCTTCATTGAATATTAAAATGTATGTTTTCAATTTTGATGAATTTTGCTCCTGTTATTCTATAATTTATATTATTTTATATTGACGAGCCTCTGAATTAGATAAGTATACTTTTTTTACTTTCCCTTTTCATTCATTATAGGTGCTTTGTGATGTGTTTTTTTCTTCTTTCTTTAGAGAACTTCAAAATGACATCGATGATGATTTGACATTCACTATTATTTTCATCTAACTTAAGTTATTCCTTCATGTTTATTTTTATATAAGCGTATTCTTACAGCGTTAAATGTCATTGTTTTTTATTGTCTTCTTTTTTTTAATTGTTCATCGTTTATTTGCTTATTTTGATTCCATCATGGACCATTTTTGCTTCTTTCAAATGTTGTTTTGAAAATCGACCGTTTGCGCATGCTTTTGGGAGTATCAAAGTGAATTACCGTCTCAAGACTTCGGTAAAGCGAAGGATCTCGGACCTCAGGGTAAGTGAAAGACAGTAACATTTGGGTTCCATTGTTACATCGCTGAAAGTACTATTTGCAGTATTCTGTTCCTGTTTGAATTAGAAATAGTACTTTCGAGGTATAAGAATAATTAACAGATGTTTAGCAAGCATACAGGTATTAATTGCATCTGCTGAAAATCTTCCTGTTGATAATTTTACCAAGATGATCCTTTTATGGTGTAATTTAGCAGAGTTACAAAATCATACAAAACACCATACAATGAGAAGTAACTATGAGCACCCAAATACAGGGTTTTTCAGGTAACTTTAGCTTTTCTTATAACAAAAATGCTTTCTAAGCAGAAAATATCATTATTGTAATTACCAGGCGATTTTAAAATTTTTTTCGTCTTTATAAAATCGATATTTTGTGCCATAATTAATTCATATGCCAGGATTTTAGAAAAAACTTATATGTGCATCACAAGCCAAAAATATCCACCGTGTCCACACTTCAGTGAATTCAGATTTGAGATTTTGTAGCTGGAAATTTGAGCCTAGTTTTTGACCTAAGAAACGCCATATAATGAACAGTAACTATGGCTCGCTTCTGTACAGTTGCACGGGGAAACACGTATTCCGTGCATGGATGCTTTGCGAAACGAAATGTTGTCGCCATCAGCGAGGCACAAACTAAAACTCCATTGGTGGCTTAAGTATCGAGTGTGGACAGTTCCAACTTTTAAGTCGAACTTAAATATGAAAAATATGTAGTGTGAACATGGCCTATATATGCAAGTTAAAATACGCTGTTGTTATCGTATTTCTTTCATCTTTCATTCTTTTCATTTGACCATACGTCAGTATGTAAATTATTTGAAGATTCTGTAAAGGAGCCACGATCCATTTTTTTATTCATATTGTTACAAGTTATGTTTGATATGTATAATAGAGCTCTACCATTTAGTGCTTTTTCTTATGTGACATACAGAACTCTGCATGCGAGATATATCTGCCCATGCGAGAAAATGAAAAGAACATTTTTCTATATTTCTCTCTTTTTCGATGTCTTCGATGAATCATCATTCCAAATAGAAGCGAAAATAAAACTTCTTTCCATACAGCAATTACTTTTAAATAAGAACAGACACACTGGACAAGCGGAGTAATTTCATTATTCTCACCTTATTTTTGAACTTTTTCCAAAAAGTCTTTCACTATTGTGTAGCTGAAAGTCTCAGTAATCGAATGAAAAAACGTATTCTGACTTTAGCATTTGAAATGAGGGAGATCTAGCAGTATAATACATCCTGCTTTATATACTAAATTGCTTGTAAATTCTTTTTTTCATCCGATAACTGAGATTCTCAGTTACACAATGGTGAATTTCGAATAAAATAAACATGTTTATGCTGGTGAGATTCGTCCCAAATAAAA